AGAGATGGGGTTTCACCATGTTGACCAGGATGGTCTCGATCTCTTGACCTCGTGATCCACCCGCCTCGGCCTCCCAAAGTGCTGGGATTACAGGCTTGAGCCACCGCGCCTGGCCCACTTTTTATTATTTTAATTTTAATTTTTGACTCATTACTAGACATAATGATTGTATTTTATAAAATATGTCTACTTGAAAATAATTTCCAGGAGTTCAGTGCTACAGTGAGCCATGATTGTGCTCTGCACTCCAGCCAACTCCCACTATTATTGAGACCTTGTCTCAGGAATAATAATAATAATTCTCGGCCGGGAGCAGTGGCTCATGCCTGTAATCACAGCACTTTGGGAGACTGAGGTGGGTGGATCACCTGAGGTCAGGATTTTGAGACCAGCCTGGCCACCATGGTGAAACCTGGTCTCTACCGAAAACACAAAAAGTGGCCGGGCATGGTGGCAGGCACCTGTAATCCCAGTTACTCAGGAGGCTGAGGCAGGAGAATCGTTTGAACCTGGGAGGCGGAGGTTGCAGTGAGCTGAGATTGCGCCACTGCACTCCAGCCTGAGCGATAAGACTGAGACTCTGTCTCCAAAAATAAAAATAAAAATAAAAATTCCAAAATCTTTTTGGTAACTTAAAACCTTAAAGTTATACTAAGTTAGATTAAAAGATGGTTATTTGTTGAATATCTAGATCATTTCCAAATAAGATATAGCACAGAAACACTAATTGCTGAACATAAGTATAAGCTTATAACTTTAGTTTCTTACTACACAGGAACAAAAGATATCTGTGTCTCTCAAGAAACATGTCCTGGGCTGGCCATGGTGGCTCACACCTGTAATCCCAGCACTTTGAGAGGCTAAGGCAGGAGGATCGAATCAGCTCAGGAGTTTGGGAGCAGCCTGGGCAGCGTAGTGAGACCCCATCTCTAAATAAAATAATAAAATTATCTGGCTGTGGTCACGCATGCTTGTTGTCCCAGCTATTCCAGAGGCTGAGGTAAGAAGATCGCTTGGGAGTTTGAAGCTGCAGAGAGCCACGGTCATGCCACTGCTTGCTCTTCTTACTAGAGCCTCCCTGAGCATGTGCCCGGCTCTGGGTAACACACTAACAACCTGGAGAGTACCCAGAGGCAGGACCAGGAAGGGGAGGGCCTGGACACCTCACGGGAACTGCTGTCCCATTACCCACAGGCTGGGAGGCCTTGAGAAAGTGAGTCAACCTCACTGAGCCTCAGTCTTCGCCTCTGAAATGGGGATCACAGGAATTCCTACCAGGCAGGGGATATGTGAAGACTGAACGAAATGATTTACGAAAAGATGTAGCCCAGCGCCTGCGGGACACCAAGCACGTGCTGAGCCTTTAGCCACCAGGGAGGGAGAAAGGGAAACACGGGTGGCCACCCGGGGCCGGCGGAGGAACGAGGGGCCGCTGGGAGGCTCCTGGGCAAACTCACCTCTGAGCATCTGCCCTGAACTTGGGCTGGCGTCACAGGGAAGTTGGTCACAAAGAAGAACACGTTCTCTCTCCAGGAGGCAAGTCTTAAGGTTGGCCTGGCCAGGCTCGCATTGACTGGAAAGGTCCGCAGCTGGCAGCCTGGTTTATGAGGGAAGGGATCTTGGCCCCATCAAGTCATTAACGCTGTCCCCCCGCGAGGCAGACTGAAGCAGAGATGGGAGGCTGGCAGGGGTTCTGAACATTTCTGAGACCAGGAAGCCTCGTGCCTGTGTCCCTCTCTCAAGACAAGTTTCTTTCTCATTTGCTCAACCAAAATATCTTTTTTTTGGGGTGAGGGCAGAGTCTCACTGTGCCATCCCGGCTGGAGTGCAGTGGCACAATCTTGGTTCACTGCAACCTCCGCCTCCTGGGTTCAAGGGATTCTCCTGCCTCAGCCTCCAACTATCTGGGATTATAGGCACCCAGCATTTCACTTTACTCGTCCAGACTTGAGTGCAGTGGTGTCATCAGCGCTACTGCATTCTCTAACCCCTGGGCTCAAGAGATCCTCCTGCCTCAGCCTCCCAAGTAGCTGGGACTACGGGCTCCAGCTACCATACCTGGCTTCAACCAGAATATTCCAACAGCCTGCTGCTTCTTAGTACTGGAGATCCAGGGGAGAGCTGGGCCTGGCATCTGCACAGGATGGAAAGGAGGTGAGTCTCCCATCCCACACACGGGAGCACTGGCATGGCAGAGCACAGGTGAGAAGACGGAAAGCTACCTGTGGTCAAAGGATGGCCAAGGACGTTGGAAGGGGAGGCTGACCCTCCAGTGCTGCTCATGAGAGCACTGTGAATTTGGGGACTGCATGCCCAGGAAGGGAAGGTGAGGGCTGTGCAGAGGGTGCTGGGAGTGGGAGCCATCAGGATTAGGAGGCATGGGTGGCAACCATCATTGGCAGGGGGCCTCCTGAGGGTAGAATCAGGGGCTGCAGGCTCTGATGATGCCCGGCGTGAAAACTCAGCCTGATTGCTGCGTGGTGTGCACCGAGCAGTAGGGAGTGGGCGAGAGGGGCATCTAAGGGCCCTCCAGGAGGCCATAGACTCATGCAGGCATGGCATGGGCAGCAGTGAAAAATGTGAGAAGGGACAGGAAGGGGTTGAGACTGAGTCCTGGGTCAGGCTGAGGCACTAGTGAATGTCACAGCCCTCGTGACTAGTGGATGTCACAAAGACCATGCCAGGAGAGGGAAACAATTGATCTTTGGACATGTGGGTGTGCACCTGGAAGACAGCTGTGCTCTGGGCAAGTGGTCACTGGGGCTACATCCTGGGCATCGGAAGAGCAGGGGTGGAAGTTGAGGCTGTGGATGAGCTGGGTGGAAGGAGGGAAACGCAGCCAAGAAGAGCAGAGGAGGAGCACCTGACCAGGGTTCCCCAGGTGAGGGAGCAGGGCTGCAGGAAGTTCCAGGCTCCAGCCCCCCACGCCCCTCCCACACCACTCTCAAGCTCAAGCCATTAGTCCCAGATACTCCTTTCTTTTCTGTTGGCAACCTTTGGAAATGCAGTCTCTCTGGCCCGGCTTCTTGACCAGACCATTTTCCCACCCAGAAACCTCCTATACATCCCCAAAAGTCCTGTCCAGGAGCTACTCCTCTGTGAAGCCCTTCCTGAGAACCCCCAACACCCCCCCAGCCATCTCTGGCATCACATGCTTCTCTCTCGCACACACTGGCTGCATGGCAGGGGTCCAAGCTCTTGGTGGGCAAAGGACTTGCAGCCCTGTCAGCAGCACCAGAGCCCCCACCTGAGGCAGCTTCACGAAGTCAGCCACATCCCACAGCCGGTTTCCAAGCTCCTTGATCTGAGTCACAGAAACCCCTTTGAGTCTGGTGATGATGGAAACCTGGGGGTCCAGGTACCGCTCCTGGTAGCCTTTTTTGGTGAGGAGAGCCCACCTGGACAGGAGAAGATGGGCAGTGTGGTGTGTCCCCAGTGTGTAGTGACAGGGGCAGAGCTGGGCCCCACATGCTCAGTTCTCTCCCCATACCCTATAGGCTCCCAGCCCAGTATCGAGGGCCCCACCTCCTCTCTGGCCTCACTTCCCACCCCAGACCCCCTGAATAAGACAGAAACTCCAGCTACGCACCAGAGAGCCAGTGCCCTCAATCACCTTCACCAGCCAGCACCACCCCCAGCCTCAATAGAGCCAGCTCCCCTGACCCGAGCTACAGCTGGTGGTCTCTCTGGGCGCCTAGTGCTCCAGCTCTCACAGATGTTAAGGACGGTGTCCTGTGCCCCATGGGTGGGGTTCTGGGGAGGGGCTGGGAAGGAGGCAGGTGGGCACACAGGACAAACTCACAGCTTGTTCTTGTTCTCCCGTCTTGTATCACCTACCTCCCACCCCATCCCAATCTGGCCCCCTCCCCTCCAGCCCCTAAAGAGCCCAACCCTCAACCTCAACGCAGCAGGACCAAGCCTCACCCCCACCTCTTCCCCTGCCCCTCCAGCCTGGCCAAAGCTCTTCTCTCTTACCCCACCACATAGATCACGATCCCAAGCTGCAGCAGCCTCTGCAGGGCGCCCACCCGCCAGTTCCTGGTCATCACATACTTCTCCGTCTTATAATCCAGAAGCCCCCAGCCTACCGTGGCCCCTGGGGAGCCCATGCTGCCAGCTCCTGCTAGCTGCGGGCACATGAGTCAGCATGGCAGCTGCAGGCACAGCAGAACAGGAGGCAAAGCAGGGCCCGAGCCAGGCCAGGCAGCTGCTGTTAAAGGGACACTTCCACTAGAGCAGGATTCAGCCTCCAACACCCAGCCGTCAGCCCCTAACCCCAGCTGCCCTGCACCTCCCACCTCCCTACATTCCCTTTGCTGGGCCTTGGCACACAGAGAACAGCAGCTCTGTCCCTGTCCTCTGTCCTCTGGCAAGGAGAGCTGTTATCAGTGCTGTGAGAGGACGGCCTGAGGGCAGCAGCAGAGGGGCTGGGAGGGTGTTGAGGAAAGTTTCAGGAAGAAGTGACCTCTGAGCTGACAGTTGCAGATTCTGAAGTTCAAAAGCAGACAAAGACGGGGATGGAGGTTCCCAGGGGAAAGAACAGCGTATGCAAAGGCCAGCGCATGTAAGACAGCTAAGAGCCACAGACTGAGAGGGGTGACCTGGTTCTGCGAGGTTCGCCAGGCCCTCCTGAAACGCTGTACCCAAGTGCAGTGAGGAAAACACAAGCTCTGGAGTCAGGCGCGTTTCCCAGTCTGCGAAAGTGGGTCGATGCTGGAACCGCTTAGCGAGGCAGGCAAGATAAACGTCGCAAAGCGCCTAACCTCGTCCAGGGTCCTTGCAGCAGGCAGTTATCCGCCAGGGCCGGGAGCCTCTGCGCAGGCCAGCCAGGGTTTCTACGGCAATCAACAACACCGGGTTGCCGGGGCGACCGCCGCGGGGGAGCGCATCGCTATTGGCCATGCTGGACGCCAGTCGATGGACGCCACATTCGATTGGTCAGCGCGGCCTCAGACTCCGCCCAAATCCCCGGGCCGCGCTCTGAGTGAGGCGCCAGGAGGTAGCCGCCTCCGCATCTGAGACTGCGAAAGGGTCTTAACCATGAGGGGTTCCTGCGAGAGATGTGGGAAGGATGAAGAGCAGAAGGAAGAGGCTACAGCGGCCTGTGAGCATCTTTCAAGGGTCCTTGAGGCGGAGCAGAGTTCCGAGGACGATTCGGACTCCGACCTGGAGACGGAAGGTGCTAGGGGCAGGGGCCAGGCCCGACTCCTCCCGTTTGGGGGTCTTCTCCCGCAGGAGTGGGGGGAGGCGGGCTGGGGCCAAGGGGGCAGGAGACCCCTGTCCAGCTGGAGACGTACCCCTCTGCGGGGCGCCTCCAGCTCCCTGCCCTCCCTTCAGAGCTCCCAGAAGCATTAGGTTAAAATGCAAAATCCCGCCAGACAGTGCCCAAAGACTGCCCTGAAATGGGACCAGAGCTGGCTTTTCCCAGTCCACAGGAAAAACTAAGCTAATAGATGTATAGACTTGTCGGGTGCCGTGGCTCACGCCTGTAATCCCAGCACTTTGGGAGACCGAGGCAGGTGGATCATGAGGTTAGGAGTTCAAGACCAGCCTGGCCAACATGGTGAAATCTCATCTCTACTAAAAGTACAAAAATTAGCCGGGCGTGGTGGCGCACGCCTGTAGTCCCAGCTACTCAAGAGGCTGAGGCAGGAAAATCTCTTGAACCCGGGAGACGGAGGTTGCAGTGAGCCAGGGTTGTGCCACTGCACTCCAGCCCGGGCGACAGAGCGAGACTCCGTGTCAACAAACAAACAAAGAAACAAATAGATGAATGGAATTTAGAATTATTTTAGTTTTTTCTCCCCTAAAGTGTTTGCAAAACATTGGTGGTCTGCAATCCAGGTTAAAAGACACAGCGTGCAATTTGGCATCAGACAGGCAGAGGCCTGACTCTGGCAGGATTGGGTACTTACTAGCTGTGTGATTCTCGGCACAGGCCAGCCACTGTTTCTACAGCAACCAGCAACATTGGGTTGCCTGGGCTCATATTAATAATAAATAAATAAATATTTATTTATTTATTTGAGTCAGCGTCTTGCTCTGTCACCCAGGCTTCAGTGCAGGATGATAGCTCATGGTAGCCTTGAACTCTGCACTCCAGTGAGTCTTCTGCCTCAGCCTCCTGAGTAGCTGGAACTACAGGGGGCCGCCACGTCAGCTAATTTAAATACTTTTTTGTTTGGCTATTGTACCCAGGTTGTCCAGCTTTCTTTCATAGCTGTATGACTTTAAGGAAAAGATTTGCGTTGCCTGAGCCTTGATGTCCTCATCTGTCATGGGGGAGGGGGGCAGTGGTCCCAAGGAGCAGAGGAGGCAGTGCTTCTGGAGGGAAAACAGGCCAGGTAGTGACACAGGGCAGGGGGGGAGGCAGGTGGCTGTGCCCGTGCAGGGGTTCACATTTGTCCCCGTCTCCTACCAGGCACCCATGGGCTTGGAGAACTGGTCAGGGATACCCTCTACCTGAGGTCTTGCCAGGTCCATAGCGTTGTGCCCATCTCCTGCTTTCTGTGCCAAAGGAGCGCCCCAGAGCTGAACCTCCGGCACCGTGGCCTGGGGCCCCAGGTACCACTGGAGGGACACTAGATCCAGGCTTCCAGGGAGAGGCCCCGGGAGACAGCAGCCATGGGAGTGCTCCTGAGTCTGTCCCACACTCCCCAGCTTCTGCCTGTGCCAGAAATGCCCCATCCCCCACATCTGGGAGACAGATGGGATTAAGGCTGTGACAGGTGGCATTAAGGGTTGGGGAGCCTGCAGGCCCCTAACCTGCTGGGGACTCAGGGAGAGCTGGGGGTGGGGAGGAGACCTGGGTGGAGCCTAAAAGGAGATGCAAGTGTTCCTTAGGCAGGTGGGAAGGGGAGGGAGGCAGAATGAGCTGAGCCCTGGAGCATGAGCCAGGATAGTGGCCAGTGTGTTTGCTCTGTCTGTCCCAGGGTGCCCGTGCTCTGGCTTCCTCATTGAGCTCCAGTCTATCGGTCAAGCGGCTGGACCTTCGAGACAATGGGCTCTGTGGGGCAGGTGCAGAGGCCCTGGCAGGTGCCCTGAGCAAAAGCAGCAGCATCCATGGTAGGTGCTGGGCCTGGGGCAGGTGGGCAAGCGTGAGTGCTCCCTTTCCTCAGGGATGAGCCTCTACCCCTGAAAGCTGGGCCGTGTCACCTGGGGCCTGCTGGTGTTGCTGGTGGATAGAGGAGGGGGTCTCATCACAGGAGGGGATATGTAGGGTGGAGCTAGACCCTCTGCTGTGCAGACAATGCTGGATACAAGTCCCTTCCTCACCCGCTCAACCCCATTACTCCCTCCCTTGCTGGGCAGCATCCCCTCTTCACCAAGCACATGGTAGACTCTCAGTACCTGAATCCACACAGGGATTGGGGGTTGGGCATTGTAAGAAGCAGGTAGGTAACGTGGGAGTTTGGTGGGTGTGGATCCAAAATGCCAGCTCTGCCACTAAAGAGCTGGATACCTGGGCAAGCAGCTTAACCTCTCTGAGCTTCAGCTTTCCAATCTGTGAAATGTCCCCCATGGTACCTCATAGGCTTGGAGCTGTGGTGAGCATGAAGTGAACTGCACTCCTGAAGTGGTCAGCAGTGTATGACCTATGTAAGTGCTCCATGCACGGCCACCTGGGCTATTACTGCCAATGCTGGCAGTGGGGCAGTGAGGGCTTTTGAAGTGGCTGGTGATACCACTGCCAGACACAGTCATCAATGTGATGGCTGCCCCTTCCCCATGGCCGTCTCTACAGTACCAGGAGGTAGGCGGTTTTAACCGCTTGACACAGACGCTTATGCGCACACACGGAGGGGGAGGTCAGGGGCCAGAAGGGACCCAGCCATTGGGAGCCGCAGCCACCATGCAACACTAGGACAGTTCTCCTGTAAGGCCCCTTCCTCTGCCTCAGACCTGGAGGTTTAGGGGACAGCAGAAGAGGTAGGTGGGGGGTGCCCAGCTTTGTGTCCCACTGATAAAGGAGCGGTTTCGTCCCCCAGATTTGGACCTGTCGGACAACCAGCTGGGAGTAGCAGGAGCGCAGGCCCTCTGTGCCGCCCTGACTGTGAACCGGGCTGTGCAGAAGATGCAACTGTCAGGGAATGGCCTGGAGGAGCAGGCGGCCCAGCACCTTGCTGAACTCCTGCTGGCTCACACAGACCTGAAGTCCCTGGACCTGAGCTATAACCAGCTGAATGACCAAGCAGGTAATACCTGCCCAGGGCACCATGGGTCATGAAAGCTCAGCTTCCTGGGGCAGGGGTGGGTGGGGCTTGGCAGGACCGCACTGCACATCACCAGGGAGCATGTGCTCTGACTCCTGCTCCCCACACAGCCACCTTGGCCTACTCCCCTTCCACTCCAGCCACACGGAACTCTTCATTCCTTCCACAAATACCTCATTGCCCACTGCTGTATGTGCTGGGCACTGACTTACCCACTGGGGATCCACCTTGAACAAAACCAAGTTCCTGACCTCAAGGAGCACATGCTAACAACAACATTCTCAGTCATTATTGGTGCTACAAAATAAATACTGCATGCTTCTAGAGAAGAACAGGGACCCCCTGCTTTAAAGAGGTGGCTGGGGAGGCCTCTGTGAGGTGACATTTAAGCTGAAATGTGCAGAGTGGGAAAGAGACAGCCATGGCAAGATCAGAGGGAAATCATTTCATGCAGAGGAATAGTGAGCATGTGGGCCTGTTTCCCAGACTGGCAGACAGCAGTGTGACCAGGCTAGGGAGTCAGGAAAGCATGGCCAGGCTGCAGGGTGGAGAGGGCAGAGGGGTCTGCAGGGCTGTAGGTCATGGCAAAAAGGGTGAAGATTTTATTCCAAGTGAGGTAGCAGACATGGCTGGAATTCCTTGGTCTCATCACCCTCTCTCGTACCCCTGAGCATTTGCAGGGGCTATCGGCTTTGCCAGGAATTTGCACTTCTACCTGCCTCTCCTCAAATGGTCCAATAATAGTAACGACCACCTGGGACCCTGGGTTAGGCATGCAGATGCTCACCCTGGAACCTGCTGAACCAAACTCTTAGGGGAATGCTGGTGAATCTGCATTTTAATGGATGCCCCCGGAGAATTGTCTTTCCTGCAATGTTTCAGAAACACTGCTGTGTCTCAAGCAGTTTAGAGCAAGTGGGGTGACATGAGTCTTGGCCTGTGAGAATTGGCCATGGCATGTAACTTCCAGAGAACCAGTTTGCCTCCCAAGAAAATTATTGCCAGAAGTCAGTGAAATGAAAAGTGAGGCTTGGTAGGGCACTGTGGCTAGCTGTAATCCCAGCAACACTCTGGAGGCTGAGGGGGGAGGATTGCTTGAGGTCAGTAGTTTGAAACCAAACTGGGCAACATAGTGAGACCCAGTGGTGACAAAAAATAATTTAAAAATTAGCTCCAAGTGGTGGCATGTGCCTGTAGTCTCAGGAGGCCGAGGTGAAAGAATCGCTTGAGCCCAAGACATCAAGACTGCAGTGAGCCATGATTGCTCCACTGCACTCCAGGTTGGGAAACAGTGAGACAACAAAAAACATGAACTTTCTTCCCTCTTTAGAGACTGTTTCACTGTTATGATGTTAAAAGCAGGTATTGTGAGTGCAGCTGGACTTTGTTTCTTAGGCAGGTGCTTTCTTGTGTGATAACTGTTTGCTTTGGTGTTCCTGTGAGGTTGTGGGATGACTGTTGGAAGGTTCTGCTTGGCTATGCTGTTCCACCTTCATCTCCAGGTCTCCGTATTTTGCCCAGGCTGGTCTTGAACTCCTGGCCTCAAGAAATCCTCCTGCCTCAGCCACCTGAGTTGCTGGGACCACAGGCACATACCACTGCCTGGCTTTCATCTTCCCTTCTCTACCACCCCCATCTCTTCTCTACCACAACTGTGCCAGCCCTGTCACCTCTTGCCTGGCCTATGGCACCAGCCTTCCACCTGGTCCCGCGGCCTCTTGCCTCTGCCCTCACCCAGCCCAGTCTATCCTGGACACCTGCCACTTGCTGAAATGCTAATCTAGCCTCATCACTTCCTAAGGCCCTCCCTGACTCCTTGCCACTTGTATGCATTGCCTAAGCCCCTTACCTTGGCACTCAAGGCCTCTCCACATCTCTCAAGTGCGCGTTACTCTTGCCTCACCTCACTGGCTTCTCCCTTCCCGGCCCCAGCTCCAGGCCTGCGTGCATTTCCACAGGTGCCTCTGCCATTTGCACTTCCCCATGCCTCCTCTCCACTGTGTGTGCACAGACGCCTGTGGGGAATTCCTCAGTCCCGGGTTATCTCCTCTGTCCTCTTTCCTGACTACCCCCAAAACAGGTTAGCCACCACTCTGTTCCCACGCCTCCCCCTTTGCAGTCAACATGAATGGCTCACATCCCATTCATTTGGATGTGTATCTCCCCATGAAATGTGAGTTCCTGAAGGGCATGGCAGGCCATGTTGGTTTCATGTCTGTGACCCTCCTGCCCAGCAGAGGCTCGGCACACAGTGGGCATCAGTGTGATATTTTGAAGGAGTGAAGAGAGCGAGTCAGAAGGTCTCCCTTGGTTTTTCTGAAGGGGAGACACTCGGACCAGCCCTGGCAGAAAACACAGGACTCACCGAGCTTAACGTGAGCTGGAATCACCTCCGAGGCCCAGGAGCTGTGACATTTGCCAGGGGACTGGAGGTAAGGAGCCCCCACCCAGTCAGCCCTGCAGCCTGTCTGCTGGGGCCGGTCTCCCAGGGACCAGCTCTCTGTCTCTGCAGCTCTTTGGAAATGACCTTTGGATCTTCTAAGCACAGCTTAAAGATTGTTTCTTTAGGTGATTTTAATTTTCCTGGCTTCACTTAGTTACTAAAATACGCTGTGCTCACTGTCACATCATTTCCTGAAGGGTCACTGTTGAATGTCTTACACCTTCCCCAGCTGGGAAGGTACATCCATGCGGTCCGGTGACACACACTCGCTGTTGGGCTTACGCAGGTGCTTTCCTCAGATGATGCCATGCACCTGTGGATGCCAGCACAGCCTCTCAAACCTCTACCTGCTCCCTTGCATGTTGTGGTTCATAGGGCTCGGGAATGGGTGGCTCAAGCTGATGTTAGGGTGGCACAAGGTACCTGCAATGTCCCCAGTGCCAGATGCCCTGTGGAGTCCTCCTCAGGCCATGGCAGTTGCTGTCTTGCCCTGATACAGGGGCTGACCTTGGGGTCCCGCCCCACAAGGTGGCATGTCACACTGTCTTGCCAGAGCACCCACTCTTCTCCCCATCACAGTACCCTGGGCGGGTTTCATCTGACAGCTGTTCACTGGGGCTTGGGATCCCTGCCTTCCAGACCCATTAAGTGGGTGTGGAGTCTGATCATGTTTCTGGGGCCTGCTGCTGCTCTGCATACTCCCCTCCCAGTCTCTCTGAGGGCCATTCACATCTATACCGGCCCTTTCCTATTGTGTCCTGGGCCATTGGACTCTGATGGCCACCATCAGCCAAGCTGCAGCCACCGGAGACGTGGATGGCACTGTCCTGACCCTTCCTTGAAGCCTCTGCCCTTCTACCCTTTGTCCCTGATTTTTGCACCTCAGGGCTCCTGGTCTCTGAGGCTGTGGCACCGTGGCTTGCTCCACGGTCAGACAGGGTCCCTTGACTTCTCTCTTTGGTGTTCCAGGCAAATATCTTCCTTAAAGTTCTAGACATCTCATACAATGGCTTTGGGGATCCTGGAGCCTCTGCAGTGGGTGAGGCTCTCAAGACCAACAACGTGTTGGAGGAACTCAACATGAGGTGAGGATCGCCAAGGGGCCACCCCAGGAATCACGCGCTCCATGATCTTGCTGCTGAACCACGCAGTGGCGTGATCTCAGCTCACTGCAACCTTCACCTCCAGGGTTCAAGCAGTTCTCTACCTCAGCCTCCCAAGTAGCTGGGATTATAGGTGCCTGCCACCACGCCCGGCTAATTTTTTGCATTTTTAGTATAGACGGGATTTCACCATCTTGGCCAGGCTGATCTTGAACTCCTGACCTCTTGATCCACCTGCCTTGCCTCTCAAAGTGCTGGGATTACAGGTGTGAGCCACTGCACCCTGCTGTCCATCCTCCTTATCACTGGAGTTTATTATTGGTTTGTTTGTTTGTTTAACACAGAGTCTTGCTTTGTTGCCCAGGCTGGAGTGCAGTGATGAGATCATGGCTCACTGTACCCTTGACCTCCCAGGCTCAAACAATCCTGCCACCTCGTCCTCCCAAGTAGCTGGGACCACAGGAGTATGTCACAAAGCCTGGCTAGTTTTTTATTTTTTGTAGAGACAGTCTCCTGCTGGCCTCGAACTCTTGGGCTCAAGCAGTCTTCCCACCTCAGCCTCTGAAAGTGCTGAAATTACAGTCATGGGGAGTTCATCATTGTTACATAGTGACCTGTGATTCCTACGCACAGGCAGATGGCTGCAAATTCCACACGGTGTATAAAGCATCTTTGGCAGAGCCTGGTGCATGGTGGGTGTTCCAATGAAGCTTTTCTCCCTTGTAGAAGAGGAGCTAAGGCCAGGTTCTGTGGCTCAAAACCGAAATCCCAGCACTTCCAAAGGCTGTGGTGGGAGGATCCATTGAGGACAGGATTTTGAGACCAGGCTAGGCAACATAGCGTGACTCCATCTCTACACAAAATGTAAAAATTGTCCATTTCTGGTGGCATGCACCTAACATTCCTAGTACTTGGGAGGTAGAGGTGAGAGGATTGCTTGATCCTAGGAGTCTAGAGTTCAGGCTGCAGTGAGCTGTCATCATGCCACTGCACTGCATCCTGAGTGACAGAGCGAGAAAAATGAGCCTAGTCTGGATGGGGCGAGGCAGGATCCTGACAGGTGGGCCCCGGTGCCTGTTTTGCTCAGCACGTGGCTACTGGACCATGCCCTGTGTGAGGGGCTCGTCTAGCCAGGTGGAGTTCCAGCCTAGGGGGGTGGCACAAGCCCAGAGGGAAGAAAAGAGGTGGACGCCAGAGAGGTCATGGGCCAGAGGCCAAGGAGGTCATGGGCTGCTGTGGCTGAGACCCTCCCCAGGGCAGCCCCCCTGTGGGCAAGGAGGCCTCTCTCAATCCTGTTCAACTTTCCTCCCATGGGAGGAGCTAAGACTATGCGCAGCCACAGGGGCTGAAACTGGAGGTAACAGCTGGAACTGGGGTCTGAGAAGTGGAAGAGAAATGGGACTGGCTCTGGAGACAAAGCAGCCCAGGGCGGTGCTGAGGCCTGGAGTTTGGGAACAGCAGGAGGTAGAGCGGACTTGGACAGAAGCTAGGTGATTTTTTGAAATAGACATTGTCATGGTGATAGGCATGAGGTGCCAGCTGGGGCAGTGCACATGGTAGCCCCTGCAGAGCTCAGAGGGCCAGGGCGCGGCAGCTGGTGTCCATCAGGACAGGGGCGCTGTAGGCGTGTTTGCTGCATGATCCCTCTGAACGGTGTCATCTCCACCTTTTACACGTTGACCTGCCCAGCGTTCCTGGGGTGTGAGTAGAGGGCTGGAACGAGAGACCCAACTTGGTGGCTGCAGTGGCAGCTCCAGTGGGCACCCGGGGCAGTGGGCTCTGCACAGCTGCTAGGAAGCTTGCACAACGCAGGTGTCTGTTGTCTTTGCTGCAGCAACAACCGCATCTCTGCGATGGGAGCCCTGAGCCTGGGCCTGGGCCTCCGGGCCAACCAGACGCTGAGGATTCTGGTAGTGAGTGCTAGCCTGATGGCTAAGACCCCAGCATAGACCTGCCCTGTACCAACCCACACAGATCCCTGTGTCGTAGCCCCCACCCAGGGGCAGCCAGCAGGTGCACACAGGCTCCCTCCCTTGCCACTCACCCTGCATCTGAGGCCTGGCCCTCCTCCTCTCCCCTTCCTTCCCTCCCAGCCTCTCCCCTACACCTTCTTGCTGCCCTTCCCTCTGCGGGCTGGGGTGCTGCTCTGCTGAAGGTGGCTGGGCACCCCTTGTGTCTCCCTCATCTTCTTCCCTGCCTTTCCCTGGCCTTGCTGGGACCCTGGCCCCACCCAGGTGTTCTGTTGGCCACTGCTCAGGCTGAACTGAGGCCTGGTGCGCCCAGCTGGGGTTCCTTCCCCCGGGTTTGCAGATGGGGAGGGAGTGCTGAGCAGGACAGGGAGCAGAAGATAAGACAGGGAAGGGAGCCAGGTGAGGCGGGAGCAGGTCTCCAGGGGACCACTGTGCCCACATCAGGTACGTGGTAAGGGACAGTATCGCCAGCTGGGTGCAGACATCCAGCTCTGCCATCCCTCAGCTCCCCACCCCAGCCTTCCCTGGGCTTCTCCCATAGCTCTCCTCCCCTTCTCCCTGCCCCACAGGAACCCGGACCTCTCTGAAGCATAGACCTGCGTTTCCAGCCGCCTCATAGACAGTCTTCTAAATGTCCCAAAGTCAATTTGACAGTCCAACCTGAACATTTCAACCCCCTCTAAGGGCTGCCTCCTGGTGGGGGCTCCTTCTTCCCAAGTCACTAGGTGGGGTCCAGAGCCTTCCCGCTGCCCCTCCCTATCCCCAACCCTCCCTCCCACCTCCTGCAGGAGCTCACCCTGCTGGCTCCTCCCTCTTCTCACTTTCCCTCTCAGCTTCTGTGAACTTGCAGGGTTCCTGGCTGCAGTCCTTCCTTCCCACCTGCTACCCCTTCCTTCCCAGCTGCGACCTTTCTAAACCAGAAAATTGCCCTGCTTTAAAATGGTTGGAGTTTTATCTCCTCTGGATAAAGTCAGTCTTCAATTGCAGCATCATGTCATGGGGAGCTGGGTGTGGTGGTTCACGCCAAAAATCCCAACACTTTGGGAGGCTGAGGCAGGCAGATCACCTGAGGTCAGGAATTTGAGCCCAGACTGGCCAACGTGGTGAAACCCTGTCTCTATTGAAAACACAAAAAAATTAGTCAGATGTGGTGGCGCACACCTGTAATCTCAGCTACTCAGGAGGCTGAGTCAGGACAATCCTTTGAACCCAGGAGGCGGAGGTTGCACTGAGCTGAGATCTCACCACTGCACTTCAGTCTGGGCCACAGAGCAATACTTTGTCTCAAAAAAA